TGGGCTTAAGTTTACCATGTGCCATCACATCTTCAACACTACCGAGCGTAACTATCTGGCCAATCACATCTACGTGTAGAAAAAACATTATCATTACAGAAACCCAAGAATAGATGTATTAATTAAAGATTCTTCATTCAGAAAACTTACCAACTAAATATCTTTTGTCAAAATTTGTGGATAAAATATCACGAAAGGTCCTAAAATAGTTTTCAGGAACTTGCATGGGAAAATCCGGGCAAAATTTGACGGTAGTGGTCTTGTAAAATAGTATCTTAAAAGGAGATCGACTGGTGCGATAATCACCTTGATTATCAATAACCTTAAAAGTATTTATGATAATTGAATCGCCTTGGGTTATCTTATTCTCGAAACCTGTGTTGCATCCTTGTCCAATGTTTCGTGTATCCTATCACCCTAATTAGAAACAGCAACTTTTGGGTTACTATTAAGAAGCTAATTATAATTGAAATATATAAACATGCATGTAAAATAAAAAAAACCTTATTATCAACCACAACTTGGTGAACCACGAGACCTAGGTGGTATGGCAAAAAAATAACCCAAGGCGATTTAAAAAAAACCTTATTATTACACTTCATCCAGGCCAAAAACTTTGACGAAATCAATCCCTCTTTAGGTAGGTGGTATGGCAAAAAAATTACACCTACAAAACATGAACAAAATCTAAAAGTATGAGAAAGAAAAGTATTAGTATGATAATTTTAAACTGTATAAAACCCAACTTAAACCTGGCTTAGATGATGGAGTAACTTAGGTGACAACAACTATAAAAAAAAAGAAAGACTTTTAGAAAAACTATATCGATCATAAAGAATAATAAAAAATACTTATCAAAGAAATTAGTAAAGGCGATGAAAAGTATGCGGGACCTAAGGAATTTGTATAAGTGATTCTCGTGTTAATGTTTTTAAGAGAAGACGGAAAGTAACGTGACCTAAGGATTCTAAATAAAAGTATTTATAATGTTGAATGGGTGAGAGATTATTTAGGGCTTCTATGTTATCGACATATGGTAAAGATTATTTGATGATTTTTATAATTTTCATAATTTTTATTAAGAGTATTGATTTTATTAAGGGTAATTGAAGTCTTTTCATATGAGGAGCAAAAAGTAATCAACCATAATAACTCTCAACCACAACCCAACTTGCTTGCCAATTAATAATACTAGGTATATAACTCGCGCTACGCGCAAGTCTGTATTAATATTTTAGTTTATTTTTTTCTCTACTATCTTTAACAATATTAAAAATTATATATATTTATAACAATTTTCATTTATATAAGAGAATTTAATATATAAAGTGTAATTTATCCTATTTTTATTTATAAATTTTAAAAAACTATTAGGTAAAATAATAACAATGACACCTATCGAATTATCCAACTTTGACGTACATATATATTTGATTTAGAGAAATATAATATTGCTAAGATTTTGGTATTATTTTCTGTTTTCAATAGAATTTCTATAGTTATTTTTTTCTTAAAGGTTTATGTGTTCAAATATTTAGTTTTTTATTGAAAGTCTTATTGATGTTGTGTACCACTGTATATATAATCCATGATTCATGTTGATTCCTATTTAATTTTGTTAGGAAGTTATAATGATCATGCAAAACCATTTTTTCCTTCTCCATCATGTCTTCCAAGAGTTTTATGTTATATTTTTATTCAGTTTTCATTGTTTTAATTGTTAAATCGAGTTGTTGTAGATTTATTTAAATTGATAATTGATAATGGTTACTTTTTTATACATGTATTGTTAATTGTTAATTTTTTATTTAGGTTTTAAAATTTTAAACTATATTAACATTTTCTGATTTAATAAATATGTTGATTTGGATCAATCAGATGGAATTTACTTTTTTTGTTGGACATAATTTGTTAAATTAATTTTTGATGTTTTAATTATACTTAATAATTTTTGGTTTGATTTAAAAACTGATGTGGACCAATTAAATCAACTTTTCCGTCCTAATCATATTTAACATTTTTTATTTAATGAATGTGCTGATGTGGACCAATCAGATTGAGTTTTTTAATCCCATGTGGACGTCCTCAATGCACTATGCCATCAACGTTTATATATTATACTAGGTATATAACTCGTGCTACGCGCGAGTCTGTATTAATATATTGGTTTGTTTTTTAGCTACTATCTTTAAAATTATTAAAAAATTATATATATTTATAGAAATTTTTATTTATATAAAGAATTTAATATATATTGTGTAATTTATCCTATTTTTATTTATAAATTTTTAAAAACTATTAGGTAAAATAATAACAATGACACCTATCGAATTATCCAACTTTGACGTACATATACATTTGATTTAGAGAAATATAATCTTGCTAAGATTTTGGTATTATTTTCTGTTTTCCATAGAATTTCTATAGTTCTTTATTTCTTAAAGGTTTATGTGTTCAAATATTAGTTTTTTATTGAATGTCTTAATGATATTGTGTACCACTGTATATATAATCCATGATTCATGCTGATTCCTATTTAATTTTGTTAGGAAGTTATAATGATCATGCAAAACTATTTTTTCCTTATCCATCATGTCTTCCAAGAGTTTTATATTATATTTTTATTCAGTTTTTATTGTTTTAATTGATAAATCGAGTTGTTGTAGTTTTTTTTTAAATTGATAATTGATAATGGTTACTTTTTTTTATACATGTATTGTTAATTGTTAATTTTTTTTATTTAAATTTAAAATTTTTAAACCATATTAACATTTTCTGATTTAATAAATATGTTGATTTGGATCAATCAGATTGAATTTACCTTTTTTTGTTGGACATAATTTGTTACATTAACTTTTAATGTTTTAATTATACTTAATAACTTTTGGTTTGATTTAAAAACTGATGTGGACCAATTAAATCAAGTTTTTCCGTCCTAATCATATTTAACATTTTCTGTTTAATGAATATACTGATGTGGACCAATCAAATCGAGTTTTTTTTTAATTCCATGTGGACGCTTTCAATGCACTATGCCATCAACTTTTATATATTATACTAAGTATATAACTCGCGCTACGCGCGAGTCTGTATTAATATTTTGGTTTATATTTTAGCAATTATCTTTAAAATTATTAAAATATAATATATTTATAAAAAATTTCATTTATATAAGAAAATTTAATACATAATATGTAATTTATGCTATTTTTATTTATAAACTTTAAAAAATTATTAGGTAAAATCATAACAATGACACCTATCAAATTATCCAACTTTGACGTACATATATATTTGATTTAGAGAAATATAATTTTGCTAAGATTTTGGTATTATTTTCTGTTTTTCATAGAATTTCTATAGTTCTTTTTTTTTGAAGGTTTATTTGTTCAAATATTTAGTTTTTTTTATTGAAAGTCTCATTGATGTTGTGTAGCACTGCATATGTAATCCATGATTCATGTTGATTCGCATTTTTTTCTTCTCCATCATGTCTTCCAAGAGTTCTATGTTATATTTTTATTCAGTTTTCATTATTTTAATTGTTAGATAGAGTTGTTGTAAATTTTTTTAATTGATAATGGTTACTTTTTTTTAAAACATGTATTGTTAATTGTTAATTTTTTTTATTTAACTTTTAAAATTTTAAACTATATTAAAATTTTCTGATTTAATAAATATGTTGATTTGGATCAATCAGATTGAATTAACTTTTTTTGTTGGACATAATTTGTTAAATTAACTTTTAATGTTTTAATTATAGTTAATAATTTTTAGTTTGATTAAAAAGCTGACGTGGACCAATTAAATCAAGTTTTTCCGTCTTAATCATAATTAACATTTTTTATTTAATGAATATGCTGATGTACTAATATTTTGGTTTATTTTTTTAGAACTATCTTTAAAATTATTAAAAACTATATATATTTATAGAAATTTTCATTTATATAAGAGAATTTAATATATAATGTGCAATTTATCCTATTTTTATTTATAAATTTTAAAAAACTATTAGGTAAAATAATAACAATGACACCTATCGAATTATCCAATTTTGACGTACATATACATTTGATTTAGAGAAATATAATCTTGCTAAGATTTTGATATTATTTTCTGTTTTCTATATAATTTCTATAGTTCTTTTTTTTAATGTTTATGTGTTCAAATATTTAGTTTTTTATTGAAAGTCTTATTGATGTTGTGTACCACTGTATATGATCCTTGATTCATGTTGATTCACATTTAATTTTGTTAGGAAACTGTAATGATCATGCAAAACCATTTTTTCATTCTCCATCATGTCTTCCAAGAGTTTTATGTTATATTTTTGTTCAGTTTTCATTGTTTTAATTGTTAAACCAAGTTGTTGTAGATTTTTTTTTAAAATTGATAATTGATAATGGTTACTTTTTTTATATATGTATTGTTAGTTGTTAATTTTTTTATTTAACTTTTAAAATTTTAAACCATATTTACATTTTCTGATTTAATAAATATGTTGATTTGTATCAATCAGATTGAATTTACTTTTTTGTTAGACATAATTTGTTAAATTAACTTTTAATGTTTTAATTATACTTAATAATTTTTGGTTTGATTTAAAAGCGGATGTGGACCAATTAAATCAAGTTTTTCCGTCCTAATTATACTTAACATTTTTTTATTTAATAAATATGCTGATGTGGACCAATCAGATCGAGTTTTTTAATCCTATGTGGACATCTTCAATGCACTATACCATTAATTTTTATATATTATATGATTGATGATGATGGTGTAGTGAGTATTTTTTTTATTTGTCACCGATTAGAACCTGAAACACGAAAATAATTGATTTTCATATTCCGGTTCTGTTCCCGTTGTTACAAAGCCCATTCCTAATTTCCGTTTACCCACTCCTGGCCATAAGAATCAAAACAAATCTGGATCAGCTTTTTATTTGAGCCCAACTACAAAGAGTATCCAAATGATGGCCCATAACTTTGTGAGTGAAGCCCAAAATTCACAATCTCCTTAATTGCTGTCGTCTCCGATCACCCGTTGCGCATTCGCCGGCGAATCGAAAACCTCTTCCGCCTCCACCAACCAATCGCAAGCCTTTTCTTCCTTGACGGTGACGATATTATATGCGGAACCTTTCCTAATTTATTTCATCTAGAAACTCACTTTAAAACTCAAAAGTCTTCCAAATTTTAGATTGAAAACATCCCCTCATCTCACGGTTTTTCAGAATTTCATCTTTCCTTTTCATGTACATCTCAGACTTGTAGAAGAAGATGGGTCGACACAAAGATGATCTCCCTGCAGTTAGGGTTTATACAGTTTGCGACGAATCAAGGTCCGATGAAAATTTTACTCAAATTCTACTAAATCGAATCCTTCTTCTTCCTTACGGGGTTAAATTTATTGAAAATTTCGAATCGCTTTGTTTGGGTTTCAGATATTTGGTCGTACGTAATGTCCCAGCTTTGGGTTGCGGTGATGATCTCATGAGGTTATTAGCTACTTACGGAGAGGTTGAAGAGTGAGTAGTAGTGTTCTCGTGTCATCTTTTTTTGTTTCTCGCATCGTTCCTTTTGTAGATACTGATATTGTTTATTGGTTCTTCGTTTTGATTTTGATTCGGATTTAGATGTAAACCTATGGATGCAGAAGACTGTGAGGAGTTCACAGATGTCTACTGGATCAAGTTTCGTCTCATTACTAATGCCAGGTTTTGATTCTTCTTTCTCTCTCTTTGGCTTGTTGTTTGATTCCAAACTCAAGCAATCTTCAAGTAATGTATGGTGATATTCATCAGTCATCACTGTTCTCTGAGATTTTAAGTTCATTGAAGCTAAACCTATGGAATTGATTTGAGAAATGAACAATGTGTTCGGCTAAGATATGTTTATCTTGGATAGATGTTCAAAGAAGAAGAGGTCTTACTAGGTTCCTTGGTGTGATGATATCTTGATTTTAAGTTCCTTAGGCTTAGCTGTTGAGCTTTGTTTATATATATATTTTTTTGTCCTGTTTTGGTTCCAAGAGGAAGAATTTGTTTTTGATTAAGATATGTATTATGTTTGATAGATTTGCAAAGAGGAAGTTGGATGAATCAGTTTTCTTGGGAAATCGTCTCCAGATTTCATATGCCCCAGAATTCGAAAGCCTCAATGACACAAAGGAGAAGTTAGAAACCAGGAGGAAAGAAGTCCTTTCAAGATTGAACCGTAAGCTTTCCGTTTCTGCTGAGATATGTTTATCTTAATGCACTTGCTTCATTGGTCCTCTAAATAAACTGTTTAGAGTAGAGTTTCTTTATAGCATTGTATTTAGTAAAGTTTATTGGTATAGGAAAGTATAAACTGTTAAAGACGATTCTCGGCATATAACTTCACAATTCTATATGTTTCATCTTGTGTACAGCTCAGAAAGACAAGAGCACCTCCCAAGTTACAAAATTGGCTGGACCGGCTTCAACCCAAACTGATATTTTCTCTTCACAAAGGTAAAAAAAAAAGATGCTTTTCTTGGTCTTTTTTTTGTATCGATGAACACATCGAGTTAGCACATGAGAGATAAGAGATTGCTTCTTCTTTTTTGACTTTTAGGAGTTTGCAAAGTGAGATGGATTACCAATTCCATAGAAGAAACGCTCCTATTGCTCGTGTTTCATCTGACCAGGTCTGTTTCTTGTGTTTGAATTCTCTGCAGTTGTACTGTTTCTTGGCTTTTGTTTCATGTAATAAAGAGAACTGAGAAAGGGTGTTTTACTGGATTGTATAGGAGTATTTTGCGTCGTCTTCAATGAATCAAACGGTTCATACTGTTAGAGAGAAGCTCAATAAGGTAAAGAAAGAACCTCTCGTGTTTGTGTTTACAAGAGCTCTTAACATTTTTAGACAAGAAACTAAAATACTTCCTTCCACATTTACTAATTTTTGTTGTTGAAATTGTGAAGATTCAAGAAAGTGGGAACCAAAAGAGATTACAACCGAGTAGCCAGATTCCGCAAACAGAACCGGGTTTCAAGAGAACCAGAGTCGTTAACCGAAGAAGAATCTAATTGATGTTTTTGTTTCTGTTTTTTTAATAGATTTTTGCTCAGCTAATCCTGAAAATTCTGTGTAATTTGGTCTTAACTCTTATAGGTGTTCTTGCAGAATTATTATTGAAGTGTGAATATAGAAATCGAGTTTCTTGTGTCGTCTCCATTCCCTAAACCAAACCATCCAAACCAAAATTGAACCAAAACTAATTCGCAATGATTTTGGTTTCAATATGTTTCCCAAAGATAAATTAAATTCGTGTTGAAGATTAAATCAGTGCTTTCTAAAAAGCGGTCTAGGCTCTAGGTGTCCTACTATAGACCGTAATCGACTAAACGGTCTTATGCGGTTTACCAACATGATTCTTGCCCGTACCAGGCTTAGCTTGAAATGTGCTATGACCTTTCTCTATATATATACTAGTATAGTTTGGTTTCAAACTAAGCCTGGCACGGGCAAGAATCGTATTGGTAGACTGCATAAGACCGTTTACTCCACAAGTTTTAGTTTATATTTTTATTTAGTTTATTAGTGAGATTAGTTTAATTTTTTACAATCTAATATTTGATAATTTTAATTTTCAAACTTGTAAGATTAGTGGTGTGGAGTCTTTGCATTATTTTCAGTGTTTTTATTTTTGTGTGCCTTCTGCATGTTTTGATTTAAATATTTTATCTACATATCAATTATGTGTTTGATTCAGAACTCTATCATACTATATTAATCTCTTTTGTTATTAATTTTAAAAATAGGTAGCATATACATTAAATTAATTTCTTTTACATAAATGGTTTTTTCGAAATTTTTTTTTCATATTAATTTTCATTTTAATTATAATGCTGAATTGACATGCTATAACTATTCATTTTAAATCTTATGTGGACTTCTCTCAAAAGTTTATAACATCATTTTTAGTTAAATTTTTTATATTGATTTTGAAAAACATTAGCATAAATATCAAGTTAATTTTCTTTTATATAATTTTTCTTTTATTAATTTACCTCTTTTCATATTTATTCTTATTTTATTTTAAAAAATATTTTTTTTTGAAAATATTCAAATTTCAAAATACATAATTTCTTTTTTATTTTTATGTTAAAAAGACTATTTTAAATTGATTTTTGTAGTTAGCATAAATATCAAGTCAATTTATTTTTCGATGATTTTTTAAAAAACAATTTAAATATTTCGATATTAATTTAAATTTTTATTGTATGAACATTTTGTAAAAAATAATTATTTTTTTTTATTTTGACGACAAAAAAAAAACTTTTCATTTTTTTGTTCATTGATTTCTTAAATAGTTAGCTTTAAAGCTCTATCTTTTTTTTGTTAGCTAATTTATTTTATAGTTAAAAACTTGTAAATTTTTTATTGAACTAATATTTTTATATGAATTTTTTATGTTAATTTAATTTTTTAGTAATTAATTTTTATATATATTTTTTTAATTTAGGTTTTGTGAGATTGAGTTTCTATTTTATTTTGATAGACTTTATAAATTTGAATTTTTGACATAAATTTCTTTATGATGTTTTGTTAATTAACATTTTTTTATCTTAATTTTCTATTCTAATATGATAGTTTTTTTTTCTTTTTTTCATTTAAAAACTTGCAATTTTAATATAAAGCTAATATAATTGTGTTATGGTAAATTTGATTTATATTCGGATGATTATCATTGTTTCCTTTTTTTTTATATACGTATATCAAAATCCATCGCGCTATTCTTCTCTGGAACTGATTAGCCCTTATCTTGGATAACAAATTTGTTGTATCAAGATTATATCAATTTTATATAAATCAAAGTTTGCAGCTTAAAAAAACAGAGAGTTATATTAAGTTAGGTGTGATTTATTATGACGATCACGGTGATGGTTTCATTGAGTTGCGTGTGTGTGTTCTAGAGGATTTCGAGAAACAGGAATGGTCGAAGTATGCCTACACTTTGAGGGATGATAAACTCTTAGTTCATGACGTTTCCTTCATTGGAGTCACTGCTACGGGTGAAATCGTTTTGTCGATGGCCAATTATACTCGTAAACAACTGTTTTATGTTTTCTACTTCAATCCCGAAAGGAACACTCTCGAACGTGTTGAAATCCAAGGTTTTGGAGATCACCATAGAAAGTCCGAGAATCCTTGTAGAGTCCACGTCTTTATAGACGATTGTAGTAGATTCTACGCCTTTGCAGACCAAGTATATGATCTTAGTGTTAGCGATCCAAAGCTACTCAAGTCAAGCATTTATGCTCCATATGTGAAGGCGGAAGAAGATTATGAATATGAAAGTGAAGATGAAGAAGAATTTTCATGTTTACGAACCTAAGCCACTCGAGCCAAGCATCTATGCTCCATTTGTGAAGACAGAAGCCAATATGAAGATGATTATGAATATGAATATGAAGAATTATATTATTATGAAAATGAAGAAGGGGAAGTAGAAGGAGAAGAAGAAGAAGAAGATAGCGAAGGAGAGGAACAAGAATCAGCAGGAGAAGGAGACGATCATTAGCTTTGTTTTAAAAGCAATGGGCATTGTCTTTTTGTTGTCTTATCTATACGTTTTTTTTTTTTGTGTGGTCTTATCTATACGTTTATGCTCTTTACTATGTACAGTTTTTATAACTACTAGGTTTTTAATTCGCGCTACATGCGAATCTGAATTAATAATTTGATTTATTTCTTTTTTGGTTACTATCTTTTAAATTATCCAAGCTATAATATATTTATAAAAATTTAATTTTCATATAAAAAAATTAAAACATAATATGTATTTTTACCTAATTTTTTATTATAAAATTATAAATGTTATTAAGTAAAATTATAGTAATAACATCTAATAAATTATCCAACTTCGACGTGTATACGTTTGATTTAGAGAATAATTCTCTTACTAATTTTTTGATGTTTTGTTTTGTGTCCTTAGGATATCTGTAATTCTTCTTTTTAAGGTTTATATGTTCAAATATTTAGTTTTGGATTAAATGTCTCACTCATGTTATGTACCTATGTATATATAATATATGATTCATGTTGATTTGAATTTACTTTTGTTAGGATGCTACAATAGTCATGTAAAGCTGCTTCTTGCTTCTCTACCAGATCTTCTATTAATTTTAGGTTATATCTCTATTCAGTTTATAAGATCTGTTTTATTTGCAATCAACTATTTGATAATTTTTGTTTTTAAACATGTAAGATGGTGTGAAGTCTTCACATTATCACTGTTTTTATATTTTGTGTGGCTTATTCATGTTTTGATTCGAATAGTTTATCTAGATATATTTCAATTTGAATTTGATTCATAATTTTTTCATACTTTATTATTTAAAGGAAATTTTAGAAGATGTTACTTATGTGCTGTTCATGTTGCATAAGTTATAAGTAGTAACTATGTATAAATTAGTTGTTATATTTCGAATGTAAACTTACTTGTGTAGTATTTTTTGTTAGTTATTAAACCAGACGCAGCCAATGTATTAGTCATTGTAAATTTAAATAATATGTTTGCTTTAGAAACTTGTATAACTTACTGTAACTTTATATGATTATTCATATTCAATATGAATTTTTTAGAACTAAATTTTAAACTAATTTTCTTCGTAGATTTTGTTTAATTGTTATTTTACATATTTTTCGATGGTAATTTTATATTTTATTTTTATTTATCTAGTTTTGTGCATGATTGTTATATTTAAAACATATATATTTTTAATTAATCTCTTTGTTATTGATTTTCCAAATAGGTAGCATATATCAATTTAATCTCTTTAAAAAAAAATTTACATTAATTTTTATTTTAATTATAATGCTATTTTGACCTGCTATAACTGGGCATTATAAATTTTGTGTGGACTTCTCTCAAAATCTTATACCATCATTTGTTTTTTTTAGTTAATTTGTTTATGATAATTTTCCAAAATATTAGTCCAAATATCAAGCTAGGTTTTCTTTATACAATTTTTTCCTTTAATAATTTACCTCTCTTGATATTTATTTATATTTTCTTTTAATACATAATTATTTTAAAAATATTGATATTTTTGAAGACATAAATTCATTTTTTTGTTTTTTTGTTAGTTAAATATTTTTATATTGATTTCGTAAGTAGTTAGTCTGATATCAAGTCAATTTCTTCTTATGTGATTTTTTAAAAATTTAGCATTTTGTATAACTTAATTTTCATTTTATTTTTCTTTGTTAATTAATTTCTTAATATTGATTTCTTAAATCATTAGCTTAAATATTTAACTTCACTCTGTTAGTAAAGCTTTTTAGTATTGCTTAAGTTTTTGTATTTTCTTACTTATTTTGTTTATATTGATGTTATTAAATAAAAAATAGCATGGATATCAAAGTTAATGTCCTTTTTTTTTGTTAATTTAACTTTTTGACATGAATTTTCATTTTAATTGTATTGACAGGTTGCGAAAAATAATTTGATATTTTCATATTTGATATTTTCTAAGAGATAGGTTATCAAAAATTTTAGAAAATAAATTTATTTAACAAAATATTTTTTTGCAAAAAATAATTTCATATTTGATATTTTCTAAGAGATAGGTTATCCAAAAAAATTTGAACATGGCAATATGATATAGTTTACAATATAGTAAATCCAAGTTTATAATATTGATATTTTTCTTTCCACTAAATGAACCTTTTTAAGTTTATTACTTACATTTGTATCAAATTTTCCTTTTTACTATATTGATGATGTTGATATATACTCTTTTCGATATTAACATATTGATAAATAGTTTTTCCTTTATATTATTAAAAAATATATTACTATTGATATTTTTCTTTATTAATATTACAACTAATTAATTTAAATAGATATAATTAATTATCAATGCTGATGTGTACCAATAGAATTGAACTTTTAAATCCTATGTGGACACCCTTAGAGGTATTTAGCATCAACTTTTATTAGTAATAGATTTTAATAAATCAAGTTTTGTTTTAAAAATCCATCTCTTCGCTCGCAATTCTAAATCAATAATATCCTCCGTTCGGTAGTGAATACAAAACAGCGATGTTGGAGTTTACATGTTCATATAATTTTGTATTGATGTTGTTTTAAACAAAACAAAAAAAAAAAAAGCGATGTTGGAGTTTACATGTTCATATAATTTTGTATTGATGTTGTTTTAAACAAAAAAAAAGCGTATATCTTGATGAGATAAGTAGTAAA